GAAGTAGAACACCCAAGTGAGGGATATGTTGCCTCCAAAATCCGAAGAAGCTCACTAGGCGTTGTGCCTCCTGTTTAGTGGTTGAGAGGCCAAATGCAATATCTTATTCTTCACTTCAGTAGGAATGTCTTGACATGCCCACACCACTGGACCCCTAAAAATTTTGCTGAGGTGGAGGGTGCCTGTACTTCGTTGGGTTAATTTCCCAACCTCTTGCATGCAGATGTTGTACCAATGAATCTAAAGTCTTTGATACATCCTACTTAGTGGGTTCAATCAGCATAATGCCATCAATGTAATGGACTGGTGTGACATTTGCATAAGAGACAGGCGATCAAGGTCCCTTCAGATTAAATTATGCCACAGGACTGAAGAGTTTATGTCCCCCTGGGGGGGGGGTGTGAAAGTGTATTTTTGTCCCTGCCAGTTGAAGGCAAACTGCTTCTGGTGTCCTTCCAGACTGGTATTGAGAAGAAAGCATTGTCCAGATCAATAGCTGCACACCAAGTACCAGAAGTATGAGTTTGCTGAAGCAATGAAACCACCTCTGGAACAGAAGTTGGAATTGGAGTCACCACCTGGTTAAGTTTAGGATAATCCACTGTCATTCTCCAGGATACATCTGTCTTTTTTACAGGCCAAATAGGTGAGTTAAATGGGGATGTGGTAGGAATCACCACCCCTGCATCTTTCAAGTCTTTGATGGTGGCACTGATCTCTGCAATCCCTCCAGGAATGCGGTATTGCTTTTGATATACTATTTTCCTAGGCAATGGCAGTTCTAATGGTGTCCACTTGGCCTTTCCTACCATGATAGCCCTTATTCCACATTTCAGGGATCCAATATGGGAGTCTGCAATTGTGAGGGATGTTTGGAATAATAAGCTTATTTCACCATCTTCACACAATTGTCCTTGATATCTCAAAATAAATTTTGATATCATTTTTCAGAGAATTGAAAATTATAAAACTGGTTCTATAATTTATGTTGTGAGTAGATTTCTCTGCTAAAAGTGATACTGGTTTCATAGAGACATACTTTTAAGTATTATTGGAGATGTAGTCCTTATTTATACTGCTTACATTCCTCTGAATCTTGTTTATTTTGTAAATATTTTCACAATGTGATGCCCTGTCACTTTTATTTTCTACTTTTATCGATACATTCATATTTTGTCATATTCCCTCATGCATTGTTATAAAAATATTCTAATTCTCCTCATAACACTTTTATAATGTAGTTTATCTTTTCATTACTTGTTATTCTAATACTTGACTTCAACCTGAGTTTTTTTTATTCAGCCAGATTTTTATGCCTTACATACGGATGTTCTACTTTCTACAGTCCCACATATTTGAAATTTCCTTTTCCTTAATATTTAAAAATGACCTTACAGCTTACAAGATTTGGAGTTCATTCCACCAGGTCAGACTGTTAATCAAGGTTTCTATTTAGAGGTTCTGAAAAGATTGCATAACAGTGTGTGACAAAAAAAAAGGCCTGATTTGTGGCAGACACGAGACTGGTTTTGCCACCATGACAATGCACCTGTTCATGCAGCCATCTCAGTGTTTCAGTTTTGGGCAAAAAACAGCATGCTTCTCTGGCTCCATGCATGTTACTCACCAGCTTAGCTCCCTGTGACTCCTCTTTTTCTGTGAATGAAGAAGGACATGAAAGGATAGCAATTGAAGACGTAGAAGAGGTGAAGAAAAAAAATAAGGGAGGTGCTGTCAGCCATCCAAACAGATGAGTTTAAAAAATGTTTCCAAGAATTGAATCATAGATTTGACAAATATATTAAGTGTAATGGATAGTACTTATAAGGTGATAAGATTTTTTTCCAAAAAAATTACAAATACAGTGCTTTGGGGAAGAAAAAAGTTCTGCTTAGTCATTTGTGTATAGCTCAATATTTTTTTATGGATATATCTAGGTCTGTATGCTATTATTGAGATTTATGCTATGGTATAGGATATATTGTCTCTTGGACTCCTGAATACATTATGATAATCATTTTCACATTATGATGCCCTATCACATCTGTATTCCATATTTTGTATTATATTGTTGGATGAGATGTTCTATGTTAGTTTACAAACTTAATTTTTTTTTTCTTTTTTCTTGTTTTTCAGTCATAAATGATTGTTTTTCAACTGTGAATCTTAGGTAAGAAATAGCAAGAGTGAATTTTCACAAAGTTACCTGGAGCACATTGTACCCTGAGCCTATGTCTAAAGGAATAACAATGAAAACATTAGCAGTTGTGCAACTCTAACTTTAGTCTGCTCTTCATGATTATTAATAATGCCTGGGAATATGGATATGGGTGAGGCTGCACGTGAAATGTGTCAGTGATCACAGGTATATACCTCTGGAGGGCACTGACCGATACTTTGAGAAAGAAATGTGTTAAAGATAAAAAGGAGGCGTGTAAATAATAAAAATATGAAAAGTGAAGAGGCTATTGGGGGAGCAAAAAGAAAGAAATGGTGTAGGGGTGAGAAGTGAAGCAGGAAACAAAGAGCTGAGCTCCAGTGCTGTAACCAGTGGTCTAACAAGCACCATTTCTTACAACTATTTATTCTTGAATTCTTCTTAAACTTCTCCAGGAGCTGCTTGGAAAGTAAACACCCACTGGACCCTCAATTTACCAAAGAAATATGGCTTCTCTTCTCTTCCGATCGCCGGATGACATTTTCACCTGCAGCTATTCACAGGTTTCCAAATTTATTTGCTCTATCGCTCCCTTTCAGAATTAAAAAAGAAAAAAAATACTCATTACTCCCTGTCAATGGAAAACTTTTGTATTATGGAGCCCACGGTCCCGGATAAAGAGTAGGTATGTACTTTTCCAGTGCCCCCAAGGGAAGAGGTCCTTCCACTTTGGGAATACATACATACATACATACATCCTTTTTTTTTTCTTTCTGTTCTTATAGTGCTTTGTTGAAGTCTCCTACTACTGTTGTAGTATTGTTAATTTCTTTCTTCAATTGTGTAAGAATAATTAATTAAGATTAACTAAGATTAATGTATTTTGAATATCTTTCTTTACATGTATAGATATTTACTATGGTTGTTTCTCCTTGTTCAATTTCTGCTTAATCATTATGAAATGCTCTTCTTTGTCTCTCTTGATGGATTTGGGCTTGAAGTCTAGTTCATCAGTGAATAAAGTTGCTACTCTTATGTTTATCATTGTCATTATCTGGATATATATTATTCCATCCTTTGATTTTTAGTTTACTTTTGTTTACATGAATAAAATGTTTCCTGTAAGCAGTATATTGATGGGTGCAAACATTGCATTGAGATACCATATTTGATCCTCTCTTGTTATGAAAGATTAGAGAATCCATCTCCACCCTAACCCAAGGCCTCCACCCCCATCCCATCCTTCCTTTGCTCTGTTCTGACACCAACCATTCCTCCCAAGACACTGCTGAGTTTTATAATTGGTTGCATTGGCCACACAGAACTCACAGACAAAATTCACAATTCCTGGGATTTATTTGGTAGGTTACCACAGTCCAGATCAATGAACAGTAAGGATACAATAACAGGCCTATAGCAACATCTCTTCCCAGCCAGCAGCCAAGTGCCTTTGTGGTGCTCAGCCTCTCAGCCTGCATTCCTTCGGCTTCTTCCGCTTGAGGCCAGTGAAGTCTATTCAGTGTTCTGCTCACAGTCTTGTAGCCTCTGCGCTGTTCTCTGCTCTGGCCACGCTCTTCTTGCCTCGACCCATGGTCTTGATTTCTTAAATAACATTGCTGAAGGGCTAGGTACACTCTTAATGCCTGAATTTCACTTCTAAACACCAGGCTTGCACCAGGCAAAATTGTATTTCTACTACAGATCAACAGAGTAAATACACAGAGAACACAGGAGAGATTTAATAGTTTCATAATTATTTTGTTTAAATTTAAGTTCTTAAAGTAAACTTGATTTATTGTATTATAGTATTATACAAGTAGAATTTCTCTTTTGTACCCAGGTTTCATTCTCATAGTCAAATAAAATTAGAAAGACATGCATAAATACAAAGGTCCCAGTGATCTTTAGGCAAAGCCACCTCCAATCAGGCATGTATAAAATAATCTATCATAATCTGTTCTATTTTTTTCTTCTCTAACACCAATAAATTATAATTTAACTGTTTTTTATTTTTTAATAGTAAGCTCCTGGTACAGATATATTTTAAAGAAATAATCAAGATTTTGCAAATATTAATTACCTAATATTCTTACTTAACAGAATTTTATGTGCCAAAATTATATTAGAAATCATATTACCTTTAACAAGGAGGCATGAAAAATCATACAAAAAGGAATCAATCACTATCATTGAACTAAACCAATTCTTTTCAATTATGTTTTATGATCAATCTTTCTCTAGTCACACCCTTTAAAACAGCGTGGTTGTCAATCATGATTCAGGTGCATTGTCTAATCCAAAAGATTATATTTACCTTTTTATTGTCTGTCCCACTTCTTCAGCAACCTTTGCAGAGCCTGTTTTACCTCTTTGTTCCTCAGAGTGTAGATGAGTGGGTTCAAAAATGGTGTGACCACAGTATAGAAAAAGGTGAAGAATTTTGCATTTTTAGAAGCAAAGTTGTTTTTCGGGTCTGTGTAAACCATTGCCACTGTTCCATAAAACATGAAGACCACCAGAAGATGTGAAGAGCAGGTAGCAATGGCTTTTTGCCTCCCCTCTTCCGACTTGATTTTCCCCACAGCTTGAGCTATGTAGCCATAAGAAGTTAGGATCAGCCCCACAGGCAGGATGGTGAAGAGGATGGCAGAGATGGTCATCTGCCGCTCACTGGAGGAAGTATCTTCACATGCGAGGCGTATGAGAGCAGGCACCTCACAGAGAAAATCATCAACACGGTGGTGGGCACAGAAGGACAGCTGGAGTGTGAGGGGAGATTGAATCAGAGATTCCATCAGTCCAGAAAGCCAAGCCATTATGGCAAGCTTCCAACAGAGTGGAGGGTTCATGATGATCATGTAACGCAGTGGCTGACAGACAGCAACATAGCGGTCAAAGGCCATCACCACTAGGAGGACACCTTCTGTGGCGCCAAGGCAGAGAAAAACACAGAGTTGGATGACGCAGCCTGTGTACGTGATGGTCTTCTCGGGGCCCCATAAATTTAACAGCATCTGGGGCTGCGTGGTTGTGGTAAAGCAGAGCTCTAAGAAGGAAAGATTGCTAAGAAAGAAGTACATAGGCGTGTAGAGATGAGGGTCTACACAAGATAGCACAATGATAGTCAAGTTGCCAAAGATAATCATGATATAGAAGATTGCCACAATCCAGAAGAGAAACTTTTCCATCTGGGGCCATTCAGAGAAGCCTAGCAGGATGAAGCCCACTGGGAAACTTGTGTTGGTCATTGCTGTTACGTTTAGCATTGGAATTAAAAGAATTGTGAGTAGAACTTTGTAGATTGAATTTAGAGAAAAAACACCCCTGCTATTTATTCAGAGAATAAAAATGTTACCAGTTCACAAGGAATTTTTATGGCATTAAATATGTGAGCTTTTCTTACATTAAGACAGTAGAATGCAATTTATATAAACAGATCATTTTGCTTTGTTTTTTAAGGCTATGTAGTTAACATTATTGGGACATTTGGAAGATATTATCTCTTGAAATTCTTAATTAAAATCTGTAATCACAACATTACTTGTGGATACCCTCATGATTGCTTTACAGTACTGATATGCTCTTTCAATACGGTGTGTAGTAACTACTCTACAGTACTTGCAAAGAAACGTTGAGCACTAAGCTCTATCTTTCAAATATGTTGTCCGCCAATATAATGAAATATTGTTTTGTGATGTCAATAGTAACGTGTAAAATGGAGATTATCCCACATGTAGGTCTTTCAGTTTTCATCAGTCAGCATCCTAGACTCTGTACAGTAAGTCTATGATACACTGTCCAATGAGTAAAGTACACAACATACACCTCCCCTGCCACTTTTATTATTTACAAAATGCTTATAACAATTCTTACCCCAACACAAAAAAATTTTTTTGGTGTCTTGGGCTTATTTTTAACCCTGTTCCTGGGGTTAGCCCAGATCCTGGGGATCTGACTTAGAGAATTACATTTAATTTACCATATCAGATCTGGTTTCTTAGATATGATGTTCCACTATGTTTTTGGTTATTAAGTTATACAAATTTGTTAGTGTATCTTCATAGTTTCAAATATGAAGATTCAGACCCACAAATCAAAGGATGACATAACAGGTAAGTAGGATATATAGAGCTAGATAGATAGATAGATAGATAGATGATAGATAGATAGATAGATAGATAGATAGATAGATAGATAGAAATTAAGGAACTTCAAGAGAAGCTGTATGTGGACCCATGGTGGCTAGTTGGTTTTACTTTTAGCGGAGAATCAGAGAATCATAACGTCAGTGCTTAGAATCCACCGGCCATTCTCTGCGGTCTTTAAAAAAAGTTTTAAAGGATTGAAAATCTAAAGGGGCAGTTTGTCTCTGTCCCACAGTGTCAGTATGAGTTAGAATTTATTCGAAAGTAGTCGGTTTTTCCTTCTGGTATGGCAAGCTGGGTAATAGATACAGAGACCAGAATTTGGATGCTACAAAGCCAGAACACAGCTTGAGAAGAATGGAAAATAAAAAAGACAACTGAAAAGTCACATATAAGGAAGGTGTAAGGGAAATTTAAGGTGATAAAAATGTACTACTTCCTAGCAACTTTCATAACTACTTTGATCCAAATTGCTCTTCAAATTATGCAGTAAACATTCAAGAAAACCATTTAATGTATAGAAGTCTATAGATAATTCATGTTAAATGATTCACAAGTGAGGGTGACTCCAAACTTCTTTGCAAAAAGTGTCTAACTTTTAAGAGTTTCAGTGAACAGGTGGAGAAGCTGCGCCACCTTAAAACAAAACTGGAACATTTAAATTGTCATAAACATGTTTGAACTCTAACAGACACCTTTTGGATTTTAGACTATCTGAATCTCCATTTATTGTACCACATTCACCACAGTCATTTCATTACTTCTCCTAGCGACTCCGGAGGATGGAACCGAGCTTCTCTGGGGTCAGGGGCTGTAAATCCTCACGAGAGCAGTCTCAGGGTTTTCTTTCCCAGAAGCTGGGGGCCTTAGCAGTCAACCACATAACCCACTACTCCATCGAAACTCATCATTTATTGTGCAGTATCTCTTATTTCTGATCCCCTTTAACATAGCAAAATAGAACGGATTGACATTCATTTCCTAATAAAGATGAACTGCTGCTTTGGAAAAATTCCAAGTTCCTGTGATTTGTACTGTTCAAATATATCTTTGGAACAAAGGACACCATGTGAAGTATAACAACATAAATATTTAGTACAACACACACTACTTTAAATAAAGTCAGCATGCATTTCCTCTATCTCAAACTAGATAACACTACATTAAAATAACCTGATTTTTCTTTATGGGTGACCAGAGTAATGAGTGGTACAAAGCATATCTCAAACACTACAGCTGATAGGAGAAAATCGGTGCCACTTTTTGAAATCAGCAAGTCAAATATGCTCAAACAGAAGTATAACTTTAGAGGGACCAAAATGTGTGTTGGCCTATGTACTATACAGTTGTTGACATGGCCTTCAAATTGGTTTTAACCCACAGAGGGGTCTATGAGAGAGCAGAATACCACATGGGGGTTCCTGGGTTATAATATCTATGGTGGCAGCTGCTCATGTCTTTGCTCTTAGAAGAGGCTGGTGTGTTTGAACCTCCAGCCTTTGGTAAGCAACTAAATGCTAACAGGGCTCTTTAAAATATACTTTCTCAAACTCACAGCCATCAAGCCGTCTGACTTACAGCAACCCCATAAGACAGAGTAAAACTACCCCTGTGGGTTTGTGAGAATGTACATCCTTACGGGAGTAGAAAGCCTTATCTTTCTCCTGTGGAAGGGCTCTTGGTTGCAAACTACCAACCTTGCAGTTAACAGCCCAATACATAACCACAATATGCCAGTGTCAGCTTTTTAGCATACTAAAATACATAGTATAACAGAAAACTTGATAATAGTTTTTAAATTCTTATCATAGAAATGTTCATTCTTATTAACTTCAGTGATCAACTAGATGAAAATGTTAAACCAATAAGTATTATTAAAATTAGAAATGATTTTGTGTTCTGTTTGCCATTGTTCTCCCATTCTGGCCAGGCTAGCTGGTAGTAATATATACTTGTAGAACCTCTGAGACTATGGCCTTTAATCACCTTCAATGCTGTAAATGAATCCCCTCCCTCTAATCATCCATGGCTCAATTTTCAGGCAAACAATAGATAGCCCTATAAGGGGAATATTGACAATCTTGATGTATATACACCTTAGTACAATCAACCACTTGAGAACAGAGGGGCAGCATTTGTCCAAGGAAAAAATTCAGGAGAATTACAAAAGAAGGAAAAGGAAAAGGAAACACAGGAAAAAAGTGGAATAAATAATGTTTCATTGTGGATATTCCAAACAAATGAAACAGTGTGTAAGAATTTAATGTGGGGACAATTGA